CAAAAGGTTAGTATCAGAATTGTTTCGAGGATTTGAAAACACGCTGGCACAAGTGTAGAATATACAAGGGGGACTACTTTGATTGGAGACTCAATAGAAATTGATGAATAAACAAATAATTTTTGAGAAAATTAAAATTCACCTCATTTTTGAACAGAGTAAGTAGTATGATACTAGAAATAAATGTACGAAATAATGTGTTCATGCATTATCTACATCAGTTGTTCATTACAACGTGAGAGATTACAATTTGTTGACATTCATTCATTATGCAATGTTACAATTATTCAGAGAAACTGTTTGTGTTCAGTTATGTTGGTAGATATTTCATTTACAATTTGCCATACACGAGCAAGAATATATACCTGAAATTTTCATAATGCACACCATTTTGGCAAAAACGTATCTGCGTCAGTAAATGATATTGTAAAGGATTTATGTAATCAGTAACAAATTCCACAGAACTTCCGGTGGCGATTGAAATCTTTTTCAATGTGTTCTTGATGCTGTACCTGGATATTTTGATGTAATTTTCCGCTTTAAGAACACTTAATGTCTACCAAGCGTTGAGATTCAAACACCAACTTTCATTTTTGTTACCATTTTAGCAGCCGTCATTCACTTCTGAAATATTTTTCACCTGCAATATATTTGAAATAACATATCGAGCAAAATTGATTTCACGATAACCTAATTTCAATTCAAATTAGGTTCCTTGTAGTTTGCGTACCTACTTCTTTCTCTTATAAATAATGATATTGATTGAATAATTATATGGTGAATAATATTGCCAACATTATGTAGCTCTGTGCAGCTAATTCTTGTTATTTATTGGTGAGTGTTAAAATAAAACATGAAATGTTCAATTTTTTATTGTAGGTACAGTGCAGATGAAATTAATAACTGAGTTATTGACAAGTTTATTATTAAAAGTGTCATGATCCTGATCCACATAATCCACATATTTGAAATTCAAAAACCTGTTCACTATTATGACCGTGTTAGAATTTTTAGGTGCCTAATAATACTGGATATCTATAATAAGATTGATATGTCAGTTCATATCTGTTTTATTTTAATAAAACAATTGGAAATTCACAAAGGCAAGCAATTTATATTCCACTTCTGAATTGATACTTACTTACTCATGGAAAATCGATATTATCCAAAAATTTCAGAAATAAGTAGTTAAATAACTATTATCAAAAGGTATCTATCTAAACTGAAATTGAAAAAACTTTGTTTATTTGCAATCAATAAACTGAAAAAGTATTCAACCTATTTTAAAAATTATTCCTTCTATAGATACTAACGAAAATTGAATAATATATCCCAAGGCACCAAAATGTTCATACAAAAGTCAATTCTTTGGAGAGATATATATGATAAGACGTCTCATCTTTATATATGGAAAATACATAATTCCTGGAAAACAGAATAATCCAAATTATCTGAGTGATACCAATTTCAAGTTTTAGGAATTTCAAACAATCGACGTGTTACTCGTACTTTTCCATAACTCGATTGAATATGAAATGGATTGATTGAAAATTATGTCGAAAATAATTTCCGCAAATATCTCGATTTACTTAAAAAATGGATCAAATTATCAGTACTGATTCGCAGGCCCGGATCTAGGGGGGGCAATCCGGAGCCTATGGCCCGGACAGCAAGTTCAGAGGGCGACAAAATTCACACTTCACAGAGGAATGGACTATTCATTATTTACTCAACTCTGACCTACACTAGGCAGGAACATTTTTATTCGCGAGGCGCGAGCATAGTTTAAAATACGCGCCGCTCGCCAGCAGGAATCGCAGACCGCGACAGCACGCGTCTGGTTACCGTGCGTGCGAAAGGGATGAAGCTATATATGGAAACTTCCTCGTCGATCTCTCTCCACGACGAAGAATCTAAATTCCTGCACTCGGATTCGGATTTACTGCAAAAAACCGGATTTGATTTGACGGACCCAGGCAATTGGCCAGGGGTGGGGAAATCATTGGCCAGCAACGGTCTCCAGCAATCAGGCTGAATTATTAGCAGAAAATCACTCCGAAAAAATTGAATTCAGATCTACTGGATGCAATGGCAGACACTTAACTTCTATTTGATATAGGACGTTGGCTAATTGCCAAAGGATCAAAAGATCTTGGCTTATATATTCTGATACAAAAATGCAATTTTTTGTGCGTATTGCAAGATTTACCAAGAAACCGTCTTCTACCTCCACATCTGCATTGTGTTCTACAAAGTTTATTGTATCTATCCACAAACTGTCTTCCTTTTCGCGGGTTCCACGAAACTACTAGGGATCTCATCACATAGATAATGTCCTCAGCGTAGTCAGACTAACAGAGAACCTAATTTTCCTGCTCGCCAAACATAACTCAACTCCTAAGTCGGTCGGTAGCCAGACGGTTCGACGTGGGCGCTTTGTTCACTCACTCGAATTGACTGCCGTGTTGGTCGGTTCAAGCCCTAGTTTGAACGATCTATTGTCACTTGCTGTGGTTCAACCCGTGTTAGGAATTACACGTTAAAAGGTAGGACCTCGTTAATCCTTAGCCGGCACAAGTTTCGACTTCTGAGGGTTGTCGTTCGTAGAGGTGCGACAGCTGGTTAACGAAAAAACATATATTAAACAGATTTTTTAAACAGAATTGGAACACTCAAAGAAAGCAAAAGTATCATGTTTATCAAAGACAATTCCGAATGAAATTATTGACATAATGGCAAAAACAGTTACAGAATGGAATCAGCTGGCCGAGTGTGTACTGTGTTTGGCTCACTCCTTAAATCTTGTAGGTTTTCATTCTGCCTCATCATGCCAGGAAGCTATCAAACTATTTGGACTGATTCAAAAAGTTTTTTTTTGTTGGCTCCTCTACTAGGTGGGACATTATAAAAATATGTTAATACAAATTTTAAAAAAAGTAGTCTGACGAAACATGTTGCTGTGCATGCCCTGTTATATAATTTGCCAGAGCTAGAGGAAGCCGTAGAAGAAGTTAAGCAAACTTCTCATACTTCAGAAGCTAAGTTCAAGGCAGGTCAACTCTCAACTATTATAAAGAACTTTCAATTTATTCTTGATTCAACTATTTGGGCGAATATTCTCCGCGAAATCAATTGAGGGTAGATATTTAAAAATTCAGAAAGACGATATTATTCTTGTGCGTTCCATCGAGCTAATGAATGGTAGGTATGTTCAAAACTTTGTAAAAAATAATGATGGTATTTAATCAAATCATATCAGAAATCCGAAAGAGGTTTGATTGTGCTGCTGTGATGCTGAATTGGAATTTTGCTTCTCTTAATGGTACTAATATTTTGAAAATATCAATTGAGGAACTGCAAAAATATGGAGCAGATCTGGCTCGAAAATACGAGCGATATTTAAGCACCGGTGAATTATGCCAGGAACTTTACGAGTCTAAAGAGCAAACTCCACTTTTATTTGGTGATATAGAAAGGGTTAACGGTTTCTATCTGTTGCAACAGATCTATGCGCATGATTTGCAGGATGCTTTTCCTGGTATTTGTATTTGCCATCTCCTACGAGCCAAGAACGCTTATATCGAGTCTTGCAATCTTAGCGATGGAAAATCAAATTACACACGAGTTAAATTATGACAAGGCCATAGATTTAGTTGCTGAACAAAATGCAATGGGTATATTATTCTTTATTATATTTTTGTTATTATTATTTTTATTAAACATATTTTTATTTTGAATCCTATCCTGTACTATGTATAAAATATATATTCTACACGTTCATGTCAATACCTATATCTGTAAATAAATAGGCTCTACACAGAAAAAACAATGATGGATGCATCATTTCCGAAAGGCCTATCTATGTACAAATGTTGATATAAATATAAGTGGGCGGGGGCGGTATTTTTCAGTTTTTGCCCCGCCTGAAAAAATGGAGATCCGTAGCTGCCAATATGACAATCTTTTCTATTAAAAATTTCTTACTCTGTAAGGTAAGTACCTACTATCAAAATGGTACATTTTCTATAATTAATATTGTGCACTTTATTAGGAAATATCTAATAAATCTTTTAATTTTTTCTAACGATGAGAAATTGGTAGAGAATATCTTTAGCTACAGTTAACATTAACATTAACAAGCATGTAATTGTTTTCAAAACCTTGGGAAGTGCAATAAAATATCTTTGAAATCCTGTTTCCATTACTGAAAAAAACTGGAAAATAAATTTCAAAACGCAATGCTCAATGAAGGTTAGTAGTAATAGTGAGCAGGTAGGTATATAACTGTTGAAATTATCTAAAGGTGATATATTCAGTTATTAGCAGGAATATTCTTCTAAGGCGCCTAAGGATCATAAAGTACCTACTTTTTTATAATCGTCAGTTCAAACTGTTGATTATGACAAGTCAAAAATTTCAATAATCGACAGTTTGAAATGAAGTTTATAGATAATAAACAGATTCAGCTGTAAATTAACCGCTGTATAAAAAATATGTGTCTTTTTAGCGCCTTTATCTGAGATCCGATGAAAATAATCATAAAACATATAAACATAACTCTACAGGTATTTATTTTTTGTAGATTGCAAAAGCTATAAAAAAAGGACTCTGAATATTTTTCCTTCTCCAGCAAAAACATATCAGCACTTTCATCATAAATACCTTCCAGCAGAAAAGTCCGCATCACTGGAATATGCACATCTCAGACTGTGGTGAGACTAACATCAAAAAAATGCAAAACAGTAGCCTGTGACAAGAAAATCGAGCAGACGATATTCAACTTTGCTACAAGAGAACATAAGAAAATCACGTTAAAGCGCAAAAGATAAAGATCGCAGCTGATGGCTACCAGGTGAAGGCGGGGCTTCAAGTTAGGCGTAGCTAAGCCTCCACATTGGTCTGTCATCAGTCGTGGCAGTAGTGGGGACGGAGCGATCGATGAAAAGTAGGGGTAACTGGATTTCCGTCAGGAGTGAAGCAGTTGAATTCCACACGTCATACTGTTGGTACTGTCTCACAAGCAGGTAGCTGTCAAAAGTCATCACAAGCGTGGTCGAAAACATCGCCAGAACACATAGCTATATCATCGCGCGTCGAGAGGTGAAGATAAACTTTGGTTCGGTTCGGTAGTGAACTGGGGAGAAACTTGTCAGTTATCGAAAAAACGCAGTGGACAGATTTTAGTGATTTTGTGTGTGGTTGTGTTAATTTAGTCAATCTGGCGGCGTACCTTGACGGAGGTCCCGCGATTGCTCCTGTGGGGACCCTTACATTAAGGGCCGGGTTAACCCATGTGCCCATCGGGCCAAATTCTAGTTACCTGCATCACTCAACGCACAATATAGGTTAGTTTTGGGGTTTCTGGTTATGAATTGATAAATATTATCTACTATTAAGTACCGTGTTTATCTGTTTTACTATTTTAAAGTGATGGATTGAAATCGTTTAAACATCTAGTCACGACTCATTGGCTATAGTAATTAAATTATCAACCATAGAATCACAAAACTCATCAAACAGTATAAATAATAAATAGAATAAAGTTCATCCGTATATTCTACAGAATATTTAAACATTAGTTTTAAAGTCGTCATCAAATTGGGGATTTATATGTAAATCGATCACTTGATACCTCTATCACTTTTTTGTGATTATATAGTAGACATATTTGAAGCCAAACATGCCTACTTAGTTATTTTAAATTTCATTTCATTGTTTTCATTCAATTCTGATATTGAATTAATTACCTTTGATCAAAATGCATTTCTGGTTATTGAGAAAAGTTCTTGATTTGGATATAAGTATAACCTTTATCAATAAAAAATAGTGTTTATTGAACACACATTATTCCCAAAGTATATGTTCCATCCTACAACTCCTGAAAACTTGAAATTTAGTCAGGCCAGGGTTGTTGTCCAAATACTTGTAGGTGATATGAAACTTCTGAAAGTAAAACATGAAAATACGTTACAAGATAGAAAACCTGCTTTTACCTATTCAATGCCTAGAGAAGAATATCAAGAAAAACATACACAAATAGAGAACTTATTTTTTACACGATTGAAAAATATGAATTCAACATATCACACATATCACAACATGTCGGCACCCCTACGAACGACAACCCACAGAAGTCGAAACTTGTGCAAGCTAAGGATTAACGAGGTCTTACCTTTAAACGTGTGATTCCTAACACGGGTTGGAAGTGAAAATCGATCGTTCAGACTAGGGCTTGAAGTACCGACCAACACGGCAGTCAATTCGAGTGAGTGAACAAAGCACCCACGTTGAACCGCCTGGCTATCGATGAATACCTGAGGATGCCTTATTCATTTCGACAATTTTCATTACCGCAAAATAAATATAACTATAAATTATAATGAATTTCAAAAGGAAATAATCCGAATCAAGTAAATTGTTCGAACGAAAAGCTAGTCCCATTATTATATGGTTTGAGAGTGAAAACGGCATTATGTTGAATATGATTCTTGATCAACATTACTCCAGTCTCACTGGTGTTTGTGTAGAATGGTAGATAATAGATAGTTTCAATAAATTTGACACAAGGATTATTTCTCCTTGTCTGAATTCAGCAAAACTCGGAATTCAGGTTATCAGTTAGTAACAAAACGGTGGCACAGGTTGAAAACATAGACTGATGTCATATCATTCACAGCTATAGAGCCTCAGTGTATACCTAAATTATATAATAATGATGATACTAATGTTATAGATACATGCATTTTTCTCATGCTTCAAATATTTGGCCAAAAATGTTTAATCATAGATAATATCTGACATGAAACCATCCTCTCTGAGTCATGAATTTCTAAAGATGAATGAGGAAATTCACACCTATAGGGTATGTTCAATTTCCATACTATTTTTAATGAAAAAATTTGCATTTATTCGAGAATTTAATTGATACAAGTTAACATTGTTGGACATTAAGACATCATTCAAAGAATGCAAAAAGACCATTTATTTTTATTTTATATAAAATTCCTTACCAATTATGTAATCACGGTTGTCACTTTAATGGCGTTCGTGTTGGTATGTAAAATATTCATCCATTTCCATTATTTCATTATTTATTGAAAACTAATGAGCTACACAGACACCTCTTTTATACGATCGTCTGGGTTGATAAAAGTATGTATTTTTACACTTCATGAGAAAATATTTTCGTCATTATATTAATAATATAGAAAATCATATATGTATACATAGATAAAGGTTATTAGTGAATCAAAATGATTTTTGAAGTCCATATGGAAAGCCCAAAATCTGAAGAATGATATAGATGAATGAAAAAAAGAGTTATTCAATGGGGAGTAGTATAGATTTCCTCTGCAGCCGAAACAGCGACAGATTTTGCGCATTCAGATATATTCAGACGAGAATTTGAAGTAAATCTTATCATTTATTTCATGAGAATTGTCGTTTACGTACCTAAAATTAGTAAGAAGAATGTATTGTAAACTAGCCACCCGCAACAGCGCGCATGCCTGATTATAAACTTTTCTTTAGTAAAATTTTTGATATCTTGGATCACAAGAAGTATTTCCTTTTTCGTAGAGAAATGACATACAACCCGCGTTACTCCATGTCAATCTAGCTATAGAGTCTCTTCAATGATTTTCAACTGCAAACAAAAAATTAGGAAGGAAGCTTAATACACAGGAATGTATTCCAAATGAATATTCTGTTAAAATCTGTTTAAAATCTGTTTTTCCGTTAATCAGCTGCCGCCGCCATACGAACGACAACTCTCAGAAGTTGAGAAACTTGTGCAAGCTAAGGACTAACGAGGTCTTACCTTTTAACGTGTGATTCCTAACACGGTTAGGAACTAAATACTTCCGAGTGAACATAGAATTAGACGAACATCACTTTTCCCATTTTCCTTAAACATTCACTAAAAAATTCAAACAAATGTCATCCATAAAAATGCTACACAATTTGATATATGAAAAAGTAGTGATATAAAATGTCACTATCATGAAACACTATTATTCTTAATGATGTACTTCAAAGTTTTGGGACAAGTTACTTGTCTTATCACCTCATTAGTACCGTTTTAGATAACATTACAAGACGCAGCAATTATTTATTCATAACACTACGACATTATGTCACGGGAAAAAACAAATCTGCTCTTGTCACAATGTCAGTATGTATACATATTCATACGGTTAGTTTATTCAATTCCAGGGAATTTCATTTGAATAAAAAAGGAAATATTTTGGGAAGGAAGCTTTTTGGCTTCCTTCATCATTAAAAAAAAGTGGAAACTTTCCTCATTTCAACTCAAAAAAAAAATCTTATCATTTCTCTCTGTAATATCAGCTCAGTTGAAACAAAATTTGACTGTACAGCGAATGACCCATCATTGCGATATTTTGGTCGATCATGTTTTTTCACATTATTTATCGTATTATCTGAATCACCCTTGGAAACTACAAAACCACCATTGATTTCATTTTGAAAACTACTTAATAGCCAACTCTCAACTTTTTTATTTCAATATCTTAAAATATTCAAGAAACACTTCATTGTGAGACTGAAACAGCTGTTGTATAGCGAAGCACGTGTTGCGGTACCAACTGGTACCACTTATCTATAGTGTTAGTTTTCAAAACCACCTAGGAATAGAATATTTCTGAAGATTTTTGTTTCAGTGTTGAAAATTTACCTTTCTCCTTCTCTATTCTATAATTTCACCATGATGGAACAATGTATAATGAATATAAAAAAAAAACTTAACAAAAACTCTCAGTAAACAGTTAAGAAATATTTATGCTGGTTCGGCCGAAAATTCACTTAGATAAAAAAGTTTTTAACTCTGAAACTACAAAAAATCGCATGAGATACATAAGTATGATTCTGATAGGTCTTGGGGTTAACCTGTCTGAAGCGAATGTGGTTGTATATATCAAATGAAATCTACTGTATTGACGTGTGATGAAGAACATTTTTCATTCCTTGATATTTTCTCAACTCCATCAGAAGTATTGAAATGAAAATAAACAGGATTTTCCTGAGATGTGTAAATTCTTCATTGGCTCAAAAATTAGTAGGTGATTTTGTGTTAATTTGATGTCCTAATGTAGATCATCTTCACTTTTACGTTTTTTGGCAAACATCCCAAAATAAAAAGGAAAAATTAAAATTTTTCATTCTCATAGATACATTACAATTTAGTATTCTATAGTCTCTATAAAGAACGTCCCCAGTTTTTTCTGTTATTAACCGTGATTCATGAGAAAGTTTACATCTTTGCAAGTTGTAAAAATTTATTTCAGCTAAAAAGCAATTAGGGAATCAAAGGCAAAGGACATTGCTATGTTAGAGAATGTATTTTCAAAAACATGAAAATAAAAAATCAATTCATGTTCATGCGCATTGCTTACAAAATGAATAGACATCTACATCGCTCAACCAATTGTGATGAAACTTGACATGTATAAGTAAGTTTTCATAGAGAAGGTTTTTACGCTATCAATTTTTCTGTAACTCGCCACTAGATGGCGCTGTAGAACAATTTTTTGAAAGCACTGTTCTATAACGCTGCGCACGCCTAAGTTCGTTGATTCTGATTCTGTCAAAACATAGGAACAGCAGCGATACAGCAACCTAGTACTAGTCTTTAATAAATAGAATGTAAAGGAAATACAGCCCGTTATTATTATTCCAGGATTTTAATCACGCCACTTTTTAATTTCATCTGGAGGAATATGCTAACCAGTTTTAAAAACTCAATTTAAATGATTCATATTGCGAGATGTAATATTTAATCATTTATGGAGAATCACAACTTTCTCTCTTCATCCCCTCATGTCCCATGAAAAGATTGAATAGTACGGAAAACAAAAGACATTGCAATGTGAAAATGGAGAAAATCTTCAAAATCAAAATATGTCTTTAGCTGTAATTAAAAAACAGCTGTTCTCAGAAGTGATTATAAACCATTGACAATCCAAAGAAAAATTATATTGTGATATTTTGGTCGATATACGTGACAATGTAGGTTTTTATCGTAAGACTGATGAAATAGAAACGTTTGTTATTCATGTAATGGTTCTTCTCTTTCTGATTTAGATGAAACACGCTCGATGCAAGTGGAAAACAAGATTCATATATAGACAGTTTCTGATATTATAGCATGTTATGTCCATACTATAAGCATTTTTATGAATGGAATTCAAAATTAAGAAAAAAGTAAAGCTGTGTATGTACCTGATACTAAAGTGATTAAATTCCAAAGTCAATTTCAGTAGTATAGTTGAGAATTTCTTAGAGAAAAGGAAGATATAGAGAAATGTTACCAACGAGGTGACTGATT